CTTCACCCTGGCTCGCGGCTCGGGGCGCTCCCTGCCCCGCCACAGCTGCCTGGAGAACAAACTGCTCAAACTCTGATTAACTCTAATGGTTCATAAAAACATTGGTCCTGTAAGCCAAAGATTGAAGACTAAACCCCCTTGTAGAGTTACACCACCATCCTAGCTCAGGAAGAAAGGATTCAAACCCTCATCTCCAGCTCCCAAAGCTGGTATTTTTAACTAAACTACTTCCACCACTAAAGAGCCCGAATCGCCCCCTGAGACAACCCTCACACAAGCTCCAACACCACAGAGTCAACAATGTGAGAATCCATAAAATTAGAGGGTTTTGGAAAAGCTGCAAAAGGCAGGCCTCAGATACAGCAAGAATTGTGAGTAGAGCTAAAGCAACAGTCATGAGGTAGGTCAGCAGAAAAATTATTTAAACTGTAGGAAAAGCAAGGGCAAATAGAACAATAGCCTGTGTATTAATGCTTGTCTGAATAGCTCTCTAAGCTGCAGAAAGTTTATCTAGCAAGATATTAGGAAGGGTGAAGCTTAAGAATGGAGCTCAGTGTGTTGAGGCTTACGAGTGGGTATTGTATTCGAAATAAGCAAGCATTGTTTTAACCAAAGGTACCGGTGCTTATGGTGATTGGATAGAACTACTGTCAATATGCTTTTGCTTTGTGTGATTGGTCAAGAAGCTTATAAAGTAAGTTGTAACATTAAGTTTTCTGGCCTGCTGCCAGGATTGTGAGCTGCTAGCATCTTCCCATTATCATAATCATGTAATGAGACTGATGCTGAAAAATAAACAGCTCGAGACACTTTCTATAGTAGCCCCATCTCGTTTGTGTCTGTAAATAAACCCCCTGCCAGCATCAAATAACAATCCTCACCCCTCTTCCTTCCCATCCGCAGCATCCTCCAGGAACTCCCTCTCCTCCTTGCAGCCCGTGGCCATGCCCAGCCACGGGGACAGCGGCCGTGTCTCGGTGTCACCGTGTGCCCGCTGGCCCGGCCGTGTCTCGGTGTCACCGTGTGCCCGCTGGCCCGGCTGGCACTGCCGCAGCAGGAGATGCTGCAGCCGCTCCCGCTGCTTCAGCAGCTGCAGCTTCTCCTCCAGCTGCTGGTCCCTGACGTACACCATGGTGGCAGGGAGCTTCAGCAGGGCTGCCTGCTCGTCCCAGGGGTCCCGGCAGCGTGTCCTGCCCTCGGCAGCCTTGCTCCTGAGCGGGTGGACGGGGAAGGTGCCGCCGTCCCGCTCGCCCGGGGCGCAGGGACCTGCCAGCCCCAGCTGGTGCAGGGACAGGTGCTTGTGCAGCAGGCACAGCTGCTCTCTCCGGGCACTCAGCTTCAGGTTTTCGTAGGATGGAGAGACCTTGGGGGAGTCCGGGTTGCTCGCTGTTAAATAACTAAAAAAAGCGTGGAAAAAAAAATTACATTACAGATCATGTCAGGAAAAACCCCCACACATTAGCAACAGAGCTTTCCCATGGTTTCCCAGCTGTGTGTGGTCTCTTCCTGCTCTTTCTGTGCCCTGTTGCAGCTCTTGGTCAGTAGACTATGTTTGTGTTTGGGGTCTGTGCTGGCGAGGAAGGTCCTGGTGGTGGCCAGGGGCATCAGGTAGTCAGCAGTAGGAAGCCATTCTCACCCCACACAGTGTAGGAAGCCATTCCCATCCCACCATCCAGCAGCAGTCCCCTGTCCCCAGGCCATGGCAGCTCAAGTCAGGGCAGAGTGAGGGTAAGGATGCAGTGAGCTCTCACATCAGCCCTGCTGCTGAGAAGTCACTTTTTGAATAAAGTCGTACAGGCAGCAAAATCCTTACTAACCCCCTGGACTTTCTTAGTGCCTGAAGACCCCCAGGACAGAGGGACAGCCCACCCTCCCCTAATCTCACTCAATGAGAAACTCTTACAGCCATCCTAGGAAGGTTGGGGCAGTGCAGGAACCTGCCCTGCAAACCCAGTCCCTGCTGCTGCTCTCCATGAGTGCAAGTTGTTGCCAGGAGTGCTCTGCAGAGCTACTCACACTCTGGGAAACTCTCTGTCTGCAGGTGAACTCCCTGGCCTTGCTCTGTGCTCCTGAAATCAGTGGGGAGGATAAGCCTGGGAAGTGCTGAGCCCTGCAGGAAAGCCCATTAGAATAGATAAGGAGGAGGAGCAGGAATTGCTGCCTGCCTGGGACAGTCCTGACTGGATGTGGGGACACCTGGTTCACTTTGTGGGTCTGTCTGAGGAGCTGGAATAACGAGAGCCTGACCTTGTTGGGCTGGATTCCAGTCATTTTTCACTGCTGTAAACTGGGATATCCCCCCCTTCCCGAGGCTGTGGGGGAAGTTTGGGGAGGGAGGAGGGCAGGCACAGTGAATAGGCAGCTGCAGTGGGTCAGCCCATGGCTCCAGGTACTCACGCCTCCAGGCTGGGGCTGTGCTCTCGTTCTGGAGGGAGAGGAGCTTTCCTGGCTGGGGGAGACACTGCTGCCTCTGAGGGACTCCTTTCCAGCAGGCAGGGCTTGGAGCCAGCTCTCACCAGGGCAATGGTTCCGTGCAGCTGGTTGGAAATCCTCTGGGATGCCTGTGGCAGAAAGTCTGGGTGAGCCATTCTGCAGGGAGCCTGGCTGAACTGGGACACATCTCCTCACCAGTGAGGACAAAACAGACAGCTCTGAGGACTCTGCTTGATATGGTTCTGGTCAACAGCTCTATCAAAGTTTTTATTAATCTTTCCAGGAAATTTTCCCTTCATGTACTCTCCACTTTCTGGCTGCACTATTTGTAGCACAGGAAGTTTTGCATCTCAAGTCATGATTCAGAGGCTTAACCAAGATAAAACCCTTCAAATTCCTTGTCCTATAGTCAGGCTTTTTTACTCATGCAAGGCTTTATTCCTGCAAGCTTCTGGCACACACTGCACTGGTGGGTGTATTTCTGCTGGGCCAGGACATCACTGTCTCCATCAGCTGTCATGAAAGGCTCCCCACATGTTCTGACTTGACTTTCCCCTGCCCACCTGGAGATGTCACCAAGCCTTCCTGTGATCCCTATTAATTATCCCCACAGCCTGCCTGCAGCCTTACCAAAACCCTTTTTCACCTGCTCTTTCAAGTTTTCTTGGGGAGGTCGAGTAAGCAAAACCTGTGCCAAAACAGAGGTATCTGTGTGGGTGTTTGTGTGGGCCTGAGTTCCCAGGAGCAGGTCCAGGCCCTGCAGTCTCATCTCCAGTGCCCAGTGTCACCATGTCACTCAGCAGCCCTGGGCTGACACCCTCTCTGTGTTTGTCCTTGCAACCACTGAGTGCCAGGCTCTGGAAATGACAAACTACCCAGGTCTGGCTGATTGTTCCACCCTCCAAGGGCCTCCTACTTTTTCCCCATCCCATACTGATCCAGTTCAGATGGCCACAGCAGTGGGGAGAGAGCCTGAGGCCATCAGGCTACCTCTGACAACTCACTATTTCTGCAAGGCTGACTTCTTGGAGGAGAGTGCCTGGAGAGGTCCTGCTGCTTGGAGAGCTTCTCTGGAGCTTCTCTGGAGGCTTTTCTGCAAAAAAAATAAGACAGAACCAGCTGCTGTACTGTCCCCCAGAGCAGCTGCAGCCCTGCCCTGAGTGGGCTGGAGCCATGCAGCCTCCCAGGGATGCCACTGGCTGCTGCCAACCACCTCCCAGTGAGGATTTTGAGTCAAAATTACCTTTTGGCTCAAGCCAGCACCTGGCTGAATGTGCCTTTCACTACATGTGTGGGTGGCAGGAAGGCAATGCCATGGTCTCTGCATGAATTTTCTTTCAGTGGGGGCACCCAGCACTCTTTAGCTCTAATGCAGAGCAGGGTGTCTCTCCCCTGACCTGCTTTCTCCCCCCATCAGCTTTTCTGCCCGTGGCAATGTCCATCTGAGCTGCCAACAGTTTGGTCTTTGCTCTCCAGACCCTTTCCCAGAGCAGTTTACAGCATGGCTCAGTTATTTTTCACATCCCCAGGTCCCTCATGGGTGGCAGGAGCAGCAGCACCCACCTTCACTGAGCTCCAGCTCTGGCACGTCCTGCTGGACTGCTGCTTCCCTGGTCTCTGCCTTCTCTGTGCTGGCATTCCTGCTCACTGGGGACAGCAGAGTCAAAGGGGAGCCGGGTGTGGAGCAGCTTTCTCTGGAGGACACTCCTGGGGTCTTTGTCCTGTCCCTGTTGGAAGGACAAAGAACATGAATGAAGGAGAAGGAAGGGTTTGGAGCAGCTGTACTGAGAGCTCTGAGCCTGATACACAAATACACGTATTTATCTCTGTGTGTATGTGGATATTCCAGATCCTCAGCCTCACCTCCTTCCACTGCAGCTTATCAGCAGCCCAGCTGCAGTCTGGAGCATGGACAGCATGCCAGCCCCACTTGGAGGTGTGATTGCCCCACTTGGTTGTGGGTAACATTGCAGGAAGCCACGAGGTTGGGTAAGGCAGGACCCAGCTGTGGCTCTTGCAAAAGCTCTGTGGGAACCTGGCCCTGCCTGGGCTTTCAGCCTGATGGAGGGGTGGGTTCAGCACAGGGATGTGGTGTCGGCCCCTGTCACCAAACCAGGATGGAGAGGGTGATGCTCAGTGCCACAAGGGAGTGCCTGAGCCTTGGAGACACACACGGAGCCCTGGCTGGACTCTGGTGCTGAGGTGTGGATGTTTGGCTGGAAATCCTCCTACCCAGCATCTCAGGGGAGAGCAGAGCAGAGCAGAATCACTCAGTGCTCAGCAAGCCCAACCCACAGCTCTGGAAGCACTGGGGAGTAAAAGCCAGAGTTTCTCTTTAAGGAGATGGTGCTCCCGTGCTCCAAAGAAAACACATTTCTAAACTAATCCCTCAGTGCTAATTCCTCTGGACTTTAAACCCTTGAGGAATGAGCTGATTTGTATATATTGGCCAGCCTGGCAGGTTACTTGGCTCCCAGCACAGCGCTGTGCTGGGCTGTGAACCTGTTGGTGCAGATCACTTCTCCCTCTTTAACCCCATCCCTGTCCCTTGGGTGTCACTGTCCTTTCTCCAGAGCCACCTGCTTCCTGCAGACCCTCTCTGGCTGCTGCAGGAGGGGACCTGCTGCCATGGAAAAGCCATGGAATCCCAGGCTGAGCTCCATGCAAGCTGCCCAGGGCTTTGTTTCCAGGGGGTTAAATATCTTTGTTCCTCAAAAATTAATCACTGGATGCTGGTGAACAGGACAGTGAGCAAATATTAACAAGGATTTTAAGACTATTAGGGGTTTTTCCATGTCTTACATACACAGGAACCCATGAGAATTAGGTGATAAAATGCCCCTGAGGATGCCACAGTGTGGACCTTGCCCTGCCCAGCCCTGGGGATGCTCTTGCCAATGTCCCTTGTAAAGAATGAAACCAGGAAAGTGCTTACTCCAGGCTCTGGAGCCTCTTCAGTTCCTCCTTGAGAGTTTTGTTCTCCTCCCTCAGGCGATTGGTCTCGTTTGCTGCAGGGGCAGAGGAGGGGCTGTGAGTTCAGGTGCTGCAAGGATGCTGCTCACAGCTCGCTGGGGTGATGGAGGGGGAGGAGAGAATGGCACCAACTCTGGGAGGGATGCTGAATTTCCTTCCCTCTTTGTAAAAGTGCTGGGGCTATGGGACACAAGGGAGCAACTTTCTGACTCAGGTTTCATCAGAATTGGGTCTGCTTGCAGATCCCCAGCTCAGGGGAGGACCCAGACCCAGAGGAGGCAGTGGTGGGTTGGGCACAGTGAACATCTGTCACAGACATATTTTATGAAAAATCTTTTTGCTAAGATCTTTTCTCCTGAGAAGCTGGGAAGCCTCAGCTTCTCCATGTTTTGCTGCTTTAGAATGT